GGCTGTGCATCTATTTAAATTTGCAAGAATTATTATAAAATTATTACTTAGCTAAAAATTTTCGTTAATAAATTTTATTATATAACTGCATATAGTTTTGATTTACATAGTATATCGCCATCCCCAGTGTCACAAGTACCTCACTTAATGGATTGGAGGCAAATTTTTAATAATCAGAATTGAATAATTTAACCAAGTGAGCTGTCATTTCGATGAACAGGTTAGCGAGCAACATACCATCTTTTTTTTCTTCAAAATTTATCGTTGATAAAGGTCGCTCAAGCATTACTTTTGCATTTTTTACATGAATTCTCAATAAATTTCAATCCGATCTAAATAAATAGACAATTTATTTTTAATACTTGAAGCTTTTAAAGCAAATAATCAATGTCTTGATATAAACGCAATAAATGTAATTCATCTTTTAATTTTTAATCAAACTATAATGAATAATACTTTTCGTTTTTCGTTCACTAAATTTAATAATTTCAGCAAAGATGACCCAAAAATTTAAGGTTTTGGGCTGATGTTTTTCTAGATTTAATGGATAATGAAGGTTATACAGTAATTTTTTCGTAAAAAGAATTTTCACATTACCAATGATACTTTTAATGCGAAATAGCAAATGCAGATTACTATAGATAGCCTATATTAAAAAATTTACTTGTTTTCACAAAGCAATTTTGCCAACGACTCCATAAGTTGATTCTATTACTGTTGCAACAAAATTAATTGGTAAAATCATTAAGAGGTGAAGCCAGTGAAACTGAAGTTGAAGCTTCGATAGATGGTTGAATAAAAAATTTTATTATTTGATTTTAGGAGGCGTAGAGAAGATTATAAAAAATAAAAAGAGTACACTCAAGCATTTAATTCTATAAATGTCGCCATTGATTGAGATGCTTGAGTGTTCCCATGATTATTATCTAATTAATTTATTGAGATGTTTGAGTGTTCCCATGATTATTATCTGATTAATTGATTGAAATGCTTGAGTGTTCCCATGATTATTATCTAATTAATTGATTGAGATGCTTGAGTATACCCTTAATCAAAACCAGCTAAAAAATCATTCAGCAAATTTAAGTGTTTTAGAAATTATGAAATCAACAGTAAAAAGCAATGGCGAAAATTATGAAAAAATTCATCAGTCAGTTTTGACATAAATCGTCTATATTTTTGCCATTCATGTATAACTCTAGAAGCATAAGTTACCAAAATTTCAATCAAACAAATTAAGACAATAATGGATTATTTATTCGAATCATTTTCTAAATTGGTAATTTCATAGTATGTAAATTGAGAGATTTTTTTTTTTTGTTCCCTTTTTAAATCGCATATATTCAACAGCTGTTCGACAAACGAAAAAATTTGAGCGCTATTTCGCTAGCGCTGCGCAGTGCTTCGAAGTGCTGCTAGCACTAGTGCATATAGATAGAGTATCTTACAATCGGTTGAAATTTGTGAAACCTAAAATTACCAAAAGTAGCTAACTTGAAGAAAATCAATTATTTCCCAGAAAAGTAACACCAAAAGCTAACAATTATTTTTAAGCGCTAATAATAATAAAGTTGCCTATTCTGGATATACCGATCGTGCAGAAATGATGAATTATATTAACTTTGTTAATTAAATAATAAGTCACAGAAAGGCAAATAGTCAATAAACGTGTGTGACGGTCTGGGATTTTAGGTTCCGTAATTTATCAAATTACGGTACGTACGTACGTGTCACAGTTTCTAATTACGTACATATGTACTATTCCAATTTTGGTCACTGTATAGTGGGCGTGAAAAAAGAAAATTTTATTGCAATTATGCTACGTGCGTGCGTACGTACGTACGTACGTACATAAGTGTGTACGTATGCAAATACATACGTACGTACGTACGAATATACAGGATGCAACGTACGTATATACGTACGTAAGAACGTACGTATTCACGCGCATACGAACACTTATACGTACGTACAGACATACGTAGAAGTTTACAAATTTTATAAATTGAGTCAATCTTCGTGAAGTTTTTTTTAGTATGTGTGAAAAAAAAAAAACGAAATGGCTCAAGATTCAACAGATATTAAAGAAACCATTGGGGCTCTTGACGATTATGTTCTTTTAGGACGTAGTGGTTTGAGGGTTTCGCCTCTATGCCTTGGCGCATTGGTATAACTTTTAATTCCTAATACTGTCATCGTTAATCTTTTTAAACTAATTTTTTTTTTTATGACGATTTCAATTCAAGACTTTTGGAGAAAAATTTGTAAGACTTTTCTTTGAAATATTAAGTTCTCTCGGCAAGAAAATTATAAGCATTTACAAATATTTAATTTATTTTACGCACATTGAATAGGGTGTAGGTTCGAATTATGAAGAATCTAAGAAGGTTTTCGACTATTATTATGAAAAAGGCGGAAATTTCTTTGGTAAATTAAATATGTTCTAACGTTAATCGGACCTGCAACAATCGATCTCGGTTTTCATTTGTTCCTTTTACAAAAAAAGCTTACATTTAATCATTTTTTGCCAGTCTTTGCATTAATTTTGAGACTAATTAAGAAAAAAATCAAATTTTATTCACAATTCAAACCTAATTTAAAAGCTAATGAAATTTATTAATTGAAGAAAAATCACTTTCCTATAATTTTTTATTGACAAAGACTAGTAAAAAAAAACATGTATACAAAATCGACTTACAATTATTGCAGACAGATTAATGACCTAGTTTTAGAATACATATCATTATATAACGATCTTAAACTCATAGTGTTTTCTATTTTTTAGATACGGCTAACGCATACAACTTTGGCGAGGTAATATTATATTATGGTTTCATATATTCTCTAGTATATGTGTGCTGACTTTAGTTATATAACAAAAAAAGAGTGAACAATTTCTTGGAGAATATATTGCTGATAAACGTTCTCAAGTCGTAATCGCCACCAAATATACTGGTATGTAAATCTGGTTATTGCTTAGCTATAAAATTTTTTTGTTATATATTTCCCATTTATTTGTAATTTTTAAAGAAAATGCCACCGCTTTAAATCCAAATGTCAGATACAATCCAAATGCTGGTAATTTTATCACTAATTTATAAGATTATATACCCGATGTAAGTTCTAAAAAAAGTTTGATTTAAAGGTGGAAATCACCGCAAATCTCTTGTCGAAAGTCTCGACGCAAGCCTTAAACGACTGGGCACTGGATATGTTGATATTATGTATGTTCATGCTTGGGAATTTCGTACTCCTATTGAAGAAGTAATGCGATCTTTAGATGATGTTGTTAGAAGTGGCAAAGTAGGCTATTTGATATCTAATAATAATATGAATTATATAATTAATAATTGGTATTTAATATAAATTTTTACAGGTACTCTATATCGCGATTAGCGATGCACCAGCATGGGTAGTTAGTCGTGCAAATACGATGGCTGAGTTACGTGGTTGGAGGTAATACCATATATAATGTGTATTTTTTACTTATTATAACGATGAAATTAACAAAACTTGTTCATTTCATATAAGTCAATTTATTGGATTACAAACGCGATATAATTTATTAAATCGATCATTGGAATGTGAAATACAAAATGCTTGTGCTGAACTTGACGTACGTAAATATGTTTAATATTTGTTATTATTTTTTGATATGTTCGTTGAATATTGAATGCGGGTTTTCAAAATCTGGTGATAGTATCATAGCTAACTTGTTAATTTTGCCACAAAGGTTGGAATTATTCCTTGGGGATGTATTGCTGAAGGGTAATCTTTAAATCCTTTTTTTGGATGTTTGTGTATTATGCATGGATTGACCTACACTGGTTTATATTTTAATTTTTATATTTTTATTTAGGTTCTTGACCGGAAAATACACTAGGGAATCAGTCGCCAATTTAGAAATACCGGATAATATGAAAAGTCAGCGCATTAACTCAATTAAAAGATCAGCAGAAAATGAACAAAACTGGAAAATTCTTGATGAAGTTACAGCTATTGCTGCTGAAATCAAAAGAACACCTGTTCAGGTAGGTTCATGATTTAAATTGTTCATAATCTATTACATTTCATAATTCTATTACGGTATTATATTTATTTATTTATTTATATTTTAAAAAAAAATTAAAGGTCGCATTGAATTGGATCTCACAAAAGCCTGGTATTACTTCGCCTCTTATTGGTGCTAGAACAAAAGCCCAATTAGTTGAAAATCTTAAAGCCCTTGAATTCAAGTAAACTTTTATAAAATCCCATTATCTCCGTATTAGATTGAGCCTTTACTTATCATCTACATTGATCATTAAATAAATAGATTGACACCTGAACAAATGGCGAGATTAGATGATGTTTCGGCACCAAAGGAAATACCATTCCCATATTCTATATATTCGAATCTCGAGAAATATATTGGTAAAGGAATACAAATTCCTGCCAAGTATAAACCCGTGTTTATGATGGGAGCACAAGAAAAATTATAGGCGAAATACCTTGGGCCAGAGGCACGTTTTCCATGCCTATAAGTACAGCCTTATCCAATATCACTGTGATTCTCATAAATTGTTTTTTTTTATTTCTAATATTATTCTTAAAATCGGTGTTCAATCTACTGAGACATGGCAATCATAAGATTTATTTTAGTTTGAAATTGTGTGTACTAAATATGTATTAGTTATATTAACCATTTACGATATTTACAATATTTTGGTATATGTTATTTATTTAGCAAACTAAGTCTACTTCTATTTCTGTTATTTTTTTCAGTTAATGACCTCGTATTTATTTATAATAAAATATTATATTTAAAATAAATTAATAAATATACAGAAAAATTATCATTTTTTAACAAATTTATTATTTATTATTCATAATATAGTCCGCCAAAAGCTCAACTTAAATCTTATTGGAAATTTTTAGAACGTTCTTAGTTAACATTCAAGTAATAGAAACTCTTACCCACAATTTTTTTTTTAAAAAAACCAGTGTATTCTTTTAAAATGTGTGTCAAAATATATTTGCAAAAACATATAGACTAAATACCTTATTAAGACTAAAGATTATTATATGACGTAGAGCAGATAGTGCATATTGGCATATAAGGCAGACACGTATGTTAGAAAATTAGATAATAAAGAAAATATATTTGAAGATCTGAAGTTTTACCTTAAATAAAGATGACTTTGATAGTCCAGAAGAGTTAAATATTTAAAAAGCCTCGCTTAAGTATTTATATGCCACCCCCATGATAAGTGAAATTCGTATAAAAATTTCAGTTAGTAGATATCCGTGGCGGTAATCAAGAGTTCTAATCACATGTCTTTTTACGCCTTATACTTGCTAATTATTACATACTTACGCAATTATTTCCATATTACTCAATTACCTCATATTTACTCAATTACCACCTGCTTACTAACGACACTACTGACATCACTGATCGCCATGTCGATCAATCGATCAAACATGTGATCATTATCGGGCCTTGTTCGATCGGACGAATAGATTCGATGCCTCGATACTCACTCGAGCAGCTATCGAGTAGAACATTTATAGTATTTCGGAAACTGTTACACTAATAAATAATAACAACCCGTTACATTGTGCGCCGGTAATACAAACTTTGTAAATAAACTAAATGCGTAAAGATAGAAGTTTGAGGTTAGGATATTGGCATTAAAAGCTATAGTAATAGATTTTGCCTATTATATGTAAAATTTCGCTCCCGCCATTTTAATTAGTGCACAAAGATTGATTTAAGCGCTAGTATTTAGTATTTTCGCTTTTTTTTTTTTTTTTTTTTGATGTATTCGGAATTAGAGTCAGGCCAATCCGGAATGATTAGCTGTTTCCTTTTTAGGAGGCCCATTTTTAGACAAGTATCACTATTTTAGTAAGGGTGTTATCAAGCATGCGATTTCATAGTGATCGAGTAATTTTAGCTGTCAAACTCATTAAACTTTATATTTTGCTGCATAAATGGCTACAGAACATTTTAAAAAACTTTCTAACGATTTAACAAATCTTCTTGAAAATGAAAAAGATTATAACGTATTAATTGAAGTCGGTCAAATGCCAGACCACCAAATATTTAAGGCCCATTCGATTATATTGAACTCTCGATGTTTTTATTTTCGTGAAGAGCTGGATAAGACAATTTACAATGAAATGAATGTTAAAAAAATCAGTATACCACATATTTCTGTTGCTATTTTTGAAATTATTATTAAGTATGTTATTATATTATTGTCACAAAATTTATAATTATTAAATACGATCTAAGGGTTTTTTTTAACTTAGATATATTTACGGTGGCATTGTCCTATTCAATAAAATTGATGCGCCTACAATCTTTGATCTTTTAACTACTGCTAATGAATTTGGTCTTGAAGAATTGCGTAATGCTGCGCAAGTAGAATTGATTAAGAATAATGCATCATGGATGCGTCGGAATTTTGCTGATGTTTATAAAATAAGCTATGAAGGTGACGATTTTAAAGATTTACTACAGTTCTGTAATGATATTATAGCGAAATATCCAAGTACTATTTTTGATTCTGAAGATTACGTTAATCTTCCAGAAAGTACTTTGGTCACTCTTTTAAAACTTGACAATTTAAATATGGATGAAGGAAAAATTTGGGATCAAGTTATTAGATGGGGAATTGCTCAAAACTTTAACCTTAATTCTAATCCTGCACAATGGTCTAATGAAGATTTTTTAACTTTAAAGACTACACTCGAAAATTGTATGCCCCATATCCGATTCTTTCAAATTGCTAATGAAGATTTTATTGACAAGTTATATCCATACCAGCAAATCTTTGAACCTAATTTGTGGAGAGATATTTTGTCAAAATTGATTTCGCCAAATAGAGCTATTACTTCAACTGTTTTACCTCCTCGTGTTATCTCACATACCATATTACCTCCAAGAAATATTGCAGCGTCAATTGAGAACAATATACTTAAGGATAAGAGAAATGAAGCACATGAATGTTTTAAACAAGGTAAATTTCTCAAAGCACTAGAACTTTATGAAGAAATTCTCGAAAATAACCAGCATAGTGATGAAGATCAAAGAAGTGCTTCGACTTGGGATCTTTCTAATCATAAGTGCGGATTAAAAAACTTAACAGAATTAACAAAAGCACTTGGTTGTAATAACCTTGGGTCAGAAGGAGGAAAAGTATTGGCAATTGCACTCTGCAAGAACAACACCCTGAAAGTTTTGAATCTTTTGAGTAATAATCTTGGAATAGAGGGTGGAAAGGCATTAGCCGACGCACTTTGCAAGAATACTACGCTGACTTCTTTGGACCTTTATGATAATAATCTAGGATCAGAAGGATTAAATGCATTCGCAAATGCGCTTTACAAGAATACTATGCTAACTTCTTTGAATCTTGGTTGTAATAATCTTGGGCCAAAAGAAGGAAAGCATTAGCAATTACACTTTGCAAGAATGCATCACTGACTTCTTTGAATCTTAGCGCTAATAATCTTGGATCAGAAGGTGGAAAAGCATTAACTGATGCACTTTGTAAAAACACCTCACTGACTTTCTTGAATCTTAGCTTTAATAATCTTGGATCAGAAGGTGGAAAAGCATTAACCAATGTTCTGTGCAATGACACTATACTGACTTCTTTGGATCTTTATAATAATAATCTTGGATCAGAAGTAGGAAAAGCATTGGCAGATGCAATTCGTAAGAACACAACTCTAACTTCTTTGAATTTTGGTTGTAATAATTTTAAATCAGAAGACGAAGAAACATTAGCAAATGCACTTAACAAAAACAACACTCAAATATTTTAAATATTTGGAGTAATAATATTGGATTTGAAGAAACAGCATTAGCAGATATGCTTTGAAAAATGATATCCTAAAAGTTTTAAATTTTTGGAATAAATAAAATTTTCACAAATTGAACTTGATTTGGTATATGATAGACAAAGTGAGCATTAAGCAATTATATGATAGACAAAGTGAGCATTAAGCAATTAAATTATTGAAAATATAAATGAAATTCATGTTTAATATAAATGTTTTACTTGTTCCATATTTTTCGTAGAAAAATATAAGTGATTTATTAGTGATGTGATTAAAATTGATTGCAGTTGCTTAAGAATTTTGCTAAAAATATCAATTACTTATTTTTGCGTTAGTGTGAACGATTGAATAATTACTGAATAAAGTTTCTTTTATAAATATATGTTCATATGATTACTATAATCAGTATTAGGATCAAATAAAATTGTTGTATGTGTATTGAGTCTAAAAATCTATAACTATTTATTCGCAAAAAAAAAAACAAAAATATAACATTAAGTAATTACATATAAACTGCTACGGTAGTAAATAAAATAAGCGATATTTCTATAGCAAATGCTAATTATGATAATGAAGAATCTATATTTACTGTCTTGAAAATAGTTGATTTAATGAGTTGCATCAGCTGAATTTGGGCCGGGCCTAATTTTGAAATAAATCCCAACTTGCCCATTCTTCTGTTTTTTTTCTTGGTGTTTATACCATTTTTTGGTTTGATAAGCAATTTATTAAATATTGGCGTTGGCGAATCTTTGAATTCTGGAGTAGCTATCCGAACCGTCATGTGCACAACCTGAGCGCAACCTTGTACCATATTTTTTATATGGCTTAAAGTCAAGAATTTAATATAGTTTAGAAAAAAGATTTAATAATCTACTTCTGAAACAAATAAATCCATTCCATGAACAGCTTTAGAAGCAAGATTAAAAGTCATCATTTCAAAAGTAAAGCCTTCAACTAATCTAAACTTAAAATTTCTGATAATTATAGACACAATAATTTTAAGTTCTAAATGAACCATTTTCATTCCTAAACAACTCATTGGACCAGCACCAAAAGGCAAGAAAGTACTATTTGTTACTTTTGATTTTATTTCTGGAGCAAGCCATCGAGATGGATTAAAACATTCAGCATCGTTACCCCAAATTAAGGGATCATGATGGATTGCGTAGATAGGAATCACCAATGGAGTTCCCTAAAAAAAAAATTTACAATATACTGTATACTAATATTACTAAAAAATATATTGCATAAAATTGAAATGTGAAAAGCTACTTAGGGAACTACCTTTGGAATAACGTAACCATTCATCATTTCATCTTTCACATTATAACGCATGATTGTAGGCACTTTAAAATAGAGATAAAATAAAACAGAAATAAATAAATAGAATAAACGAATTATTTAATTTAAAATAAATTAAAATATAAAGTGATATTAAACCATACCAGGTGGAACAATCCTTAAAGTTTCTTTATAAACATATTCTAAATATTCCAATTGATCAATTTCTTCAAAAGTAGGACAATGATTACAATCTGTAAATACATCAAGTATTTCTTTACGAAGACGATCCTGAATATCAGGGTTTTTTGCGAGATAGTATAATACCCAAGTTAGAGCAGTACTAGTTGTTTCATGTCCAGTT